TGAATGCGTACTACCGGTATCTAACATGAATTTTGAATCTAACTCTGGGATATATATATATATATATAAGGTAATTTTAAATTTGTGTCATTATGTAGTTCTATGGTATCACGGTTTTTGTCTTTATCGTCTACGTTCACTTGCAACGAATCTGTGTCATCGTCAGAACCTAATGCGTTCAGTTTGATACGGGATAGTGCGTCAGCGTTGCTTGAAGCGGTTATGTGAAAAGTTTCAATATTTTCCGTCGTCTTAATATTTGTATCAGCCGGTTTGTTTTCAGTTTCCGGGTTTACAGTCTTTTCTGATTGATATTCGGGGTTATAATAAGGATCGTCGTTAGGATATTGATCGAAATAATTTGCGTTTTCGTAGCAATACATGTCATCATTATAATAATTTTCATTTAACTCTAATTCGTTTAACCTAAAACCTTGCTGCGGTCGTGCTACAGGTGGTGCTGTGCGCATCGACACATCTGTGTTAATTCGCGGTTGGTTATGCTGAGATATATTACTATCGTTGTTATATCGCTGCTGCATACCGAACTGTTGAGGACTCATTGAAAGTAAAGGCTGAAGGCCGACAGGTCTATAGCCAAATTGGGGTGGACGATATCCGAATTGCATTTGATTGTTATTAGGTTGTGGTGGTCGATAATAATTTCGCAAACTGTTAAATTGTCGCTGCTGACCTTGAGTCGGTAGCGGCATCTGCACCTGCTTATTCGGTGGAATGCCAAAATTATATCTAGGTGGTTGGTTCAATTGCATAGGCTTAAAACTATAAGACTGTTGAGGTAGAGTGTTATTATTACCGAATTTAAATGATGGCGAATTGTTATGCGATTGCGAATAAGATGTGACATTGGATCCAGACATTTCATTTGGTACTGACTATGGAAGTTAACTTCTTCTAATACAGTACAGAGCGCATCCTCTAATGAATTTGGAGCTTTGAGACGCACTACTCTAACTAAATGTTCCGGTAAATTATACAGGAAAACGTTTAATGACGTATTTTCATAGATAGCCCTTTTACTATTGCGCATATTTGAGTCCGACAACCGGTTAACTTTACCCATTAAAATTGATCTCATAGATTGAATTCGACAACAAAAATCTAAATAACTTTCTCCGGGTTTAATTCTTAAGGTCTCAAGTTCGATATTTAAACACTCTTCACTTCGTGAATCTCCAAAATGCTGAATTAATAACTGCTTAAACTCATCCCACGTTGTAATATCATCGCGCTCACCGACTAATGCAGCTGCATTACCGATAAGGCGGCTTGTTATTGTATTCATCACGTACAAATTCTGTTGCGTTGAGCCATTAAATTTAGTTAAAACATATTCACACATTCTTAAAAATAGATTTAAGTGGCGTTTGTCACCATCAAACAAAGGAATGATTTTTATCATTTCACCAGGGATGAGTGTAATACTCTCCATAGTTATGTATTTTTTTTTTTACAAAAAAACAATATAAAAAGAATATAAAATAAATCTAACTAAATGTCACACAAAATATTAAGGAATAAAATGTATATCATTAATAAAAATATTTCTTTGCAAAATTATGATTTCTTGTATATGGTACTTATTAAAATAGGGAAAACTTAAATTATATAACAATTTTTTTTAAAACTATTTAACCAGAATACCTTAAAATGAGAGAAGTTCGATCTCAAGATAACAGAACGCCGAGGTAGTGGAAAGGATGGTGAAAAGTTCAACTCACCAGCCACCAACTGCTCTCATGGTCCAGGATCAGCTCCGCATTCTTGACGAATTTTATTTGGTTCGAGGATCGTCTCGGTTTTTTCTTCGCGCCGCGGACCTCCGATTCCAACAGAGTTTTATATCGAATTCGCGAAGGACGCAACACTACCGAAGTATGACGATCCTACCGGCTGCGCCAGTCAAATTTACGGGAACGTAAAATGATTTTTTAAAAACTATTTATTTCTAATTACAATAATTATAATTCTAATTACTTAATTAATAGTCTTGGCAGAAGTCGATGTCAAAACGAAGTGGCCGCTCCCATGAGCTCTGCCTGATATCTCATGCAACCAAAAGCGCTGACTCTACAGTTACTGGATACTGCCTAATGCTTATGCAGCCCCCTCTAGGTACAAACCCTAACAACCCTATGGTCTTGTGGTTGCATAACTAGATTGTTCCAACCTTATGTGTTAGATATTTAAGAATTCTAACTTAGTACATATGTTGCAAAATAGGCATATTTTGTTGAATAAATAAAAGGTTTTAACGTGGTAGAGCCATGCTGCAGCTATATTTCTGGTATAGTTGTAACACGAATGGGTCGGCACGACCGGGGAAGGACCACGCTCTCACAGAATACCAGCGTAAAATAGCAGCTTAATACTGCAGTGTTTCGTATGGTGAGTGTAGAGAACCGGAGACCCTTTTTACTGGAAAAAAGGCATTCCATCTTAGTCCTCACGGGTGACAACGCATCTGCATTTTGATTCGTAATCGAGGATAAATGTAGATGTCTATGGGCCACAGCAACCACTTACCATTATTAGGTGGACTGTGTGCTCGTTTGCCACCCTTATCCTATAAAAAAAAAGTTTTTTGTGATATTGAAATGTAATGTATATCATAGTATAGATATTTTGTTGTGCTATCTTTATAAATAAAATGTATAAATGTATGTCTTATACAAATAAAGATATTGGGCAAACCGTGGGAGTGTAATAGTACAAATTTGATGTAATTGAATTGCGAAATCGCACAGAGGGCGCGGCTCTTTTTCGAGTAAAGCGTTGTTGATACCCCATTAGACTGGCTTTCATGCAAATCGTTCAGGACCAGCTACCAGTAATATATATAATCAAGAAAGAAAACATATAGGGAAGTGATAGGGAAAGTTATTGCACTCTCACGGAGCGGTTTGAAGATAATTGCTGTTTTATTCCCAAGGGATCCTTCACCTTTAAATATAATTGCGTGCTAACGTAGCACATATCGAAGAATTAAGGCATCGGGAACGGAACGACCACGGAAGACCCGTAATCCCCGTCTACTCCTCCGTGATACTCCTTCACGGGGTTCACATACGCCTCGTTGACCTCCCGAACCCAACGAAGGTGTCATAGGAAATTGAAAACCAAAACCAGCCGAAGGAAGACCTCTCAGTTGGCCCTTGTCTGAATTACTGGAGTGATTTGAGCCCCGTGTTCTTTTTCAAAAGGTTTTAGTAGAAGTCTTAAAGTATTTTGTAAAAAAAGAAATAGGGCTAAATATTGGGGCAATTTTTTGATTGGTATAGTTACAAGCTTGGCATAGATTACCATGTTACCCTCACGTACTTACTATAATATCAACTGTCAAAACGGCGTCGATAAAGGAGCGCCTTTTTGACCCTTTACTATTTGATAGACTGATCAAGAGCTATCATATCACAGAGCGTTCTATGCAAACGACGCTGTAGTTTTTGAGTTATAAGAAAGTGACCATATTAACCGGATGACTATATTACCCTCACGTACTATAGTTAGTTTTTCTTTCGACATTGTGTATTTGTCTCTGTCCTCCTCCTAGTTTTGGTTTTATAAGGCGTTGCCGCCTTATAAAACCTTAAAACCTAAAAGCTTAAGGTGACCATATTACCCTCACGTACCTTATATACTAGAGATAGATGCGCGACTCAAATTTAATTTTCGTTAGTGTCGTGCTTTGCCGAACAGATGGCCCTTAATTCTTACAAAAGAAGGAACTTGAAAAAGAGGGAAAAAAATAAACACATCTGCTGGACTCGAAACGGGGTCTTTTGGTTTCGGGACCGCCCGGTTACCCACCTGAGCTATTATAACCATGAACATAATGACGAAATTCACCTTCGTATTCTAATGATATTTTATCAGTTTTTCATTGCCTGAAAACACAGATAAAACGGCATTTTGTAAAAATAAATAACGTTCAATAAATATTAATAACAATTTAAGGGTGTAACTTGACAATGTAACTACCAGTGACCGCTACTAACTGCGTAGTGCGCATGGATCATTGCGTATGCATAGACTTAATATATAAGTGTGCCCTCTAATGAGATTAAAATAAGTCTAGCCTAGCACTTCGGAATGTAGATGGAAACACATAAATCGTATCATTTTGTTCGTAAAATAATGTTTTAAGTTGCATGCCCATGAAGCTTGGGGTTCGAGACAATTTAAAACTGCCGATTGAATTACCAAAATTGACACTTTAATTACAGAACACTAATTAAAATTTAAAACCACACTAATAATAAAACACAATTGTACTACTGATCACTTTAGTTCGCAGTTATTTGGCTGCGAAGTATTCGCTTGTATCGCCAATTCAATACTCACTCGGTCGTGGTCAATACCGGCCTTATATAGGGCCTCAGATAGTTTCCAGAACCTTCTACTGTAGAAACATCTAGATTGTTCGAGTACATATCGGTCCCGAAATTTCTAGAAGGATCTTGACTCTCCTAGTTCTGCTACTCTATACTAAAGGACGCTAGTGGTAACTAGTGTTGCCTTGTAAAAGACATTAATAGTGGTGCGCAACACTGCCCCCTCCTAAGACATGCTCGTCCCGAGCATTATTGGCCCAATAATAACGCGCCAGCCGATCGATCTTAGGAGTACCTCTGGCACCTTTCTGTATCCGGTAGATTACGTCATTGATCCTTGTCACAATCCGGTACGGTCCGTCCCATTTAGCTTGCAGCTTAGGAGATTTCCCTTTGCTGCGAACTGGATTGTGTAACCACACTACTGAACCTTCGTCAAACCCTTTGTTGTTCATTTTGCGGTCATACCGTGTTTTCATCTTCTCAGACGTTTGCTGCCGACTGTCTGACGTGCTCATAAATGTCATTCGTTTTGTTCCACAAGTCATTTGCATAATCGGTTATACTGCGTGGTATCAGGTGGTATTACGGTGATCAGGCCTGCAGACAGCCGTAATTCTCTCCCAAAGTTTGCGAAAGCTGGCGTCACTGATGTACTTTCGTGAACAGCGCTTCGATATGACAACAAAACGGTTGTATGTGCCTGTTCCAGTCTCGTTGCCGTTTTTCCACAACTTTTGCCAGGTACCTTTCCAATGTCTGATTAAATCGTTCTACCATTCCATCAGATTGTGGGTGGTAAGAAGTTGTTCGTGTTTTATGAGTACCCATAACTCGGCAAGTTTCCTGGAATAATTGAGACTCAAAATTCCTTCCTTGATCGATGTGAATCTCTAAAGGTACTCCAAAACAACAGAAGACTTCATGAACTAGTTTATCTGCAACTGTTGAAGCTTCTTGATTTGGAATGGCGAAGACTTCTGGCCACTTAGTGAAGTAATCCATCACAACCATGAAATACTTGTTACCACTTTCACTTTCCGGAAACGGCCCCGCTATGTCAATGGCTATCCTCTCACATGGTGCACCAACATTGTACAATTCCAATGCGCCTCTACTACGAGTTTGAGGTCCCTTTATAGTCGCACAACTTGTACATTTGCGGCACCAGTCCTCGACATCGTCACGACAGTGGACCCAGTAAACATGTTCTCGGATCTTCAGTAGATTTCGTTTAACTCCCAGGTGGCCTCCTGAACAACCATTATGGTACAGCTGTAGAACATCCGATACTTTAGCCTTAGGGACAACCATTTGCAAATGACAACTGTCTTCCCGACATTTTCCCATTTACGGCGCAGGACTCCATCCTGAATCAGCAAGCCCATGTCCCATTGGGCCCAATAGCTTTTCTTGGTCGAACTCATCGCTGAGACGTCGCTCCACTTGGGCTTAGGAGCACTGGCCTTCATTCATTCCAGAATCGGCTTAATGTCCGAATCTTCCTGCTGTGCATGTTGTAGGCTGTCCTTCTACTCATTGCTGAGCTGGTCTGTCCTGAGCATCCTCACAGATACCACTTCCTTACCCTCTTGCCTAGTACAATGCTTGCAATCTTCAGGGCAAGGTCTTCTTGACAATGCATCTGCGTTACCATGAGATTTCCCGCTGCGATGTTCGATCACAAAGTCGTATTCCTGCAGTAGTTCAATCCATCTCGCAATTTGTCATTCCTGATTTTTAAGTGCAGTAGCCATTTCAGTGCAGCATGGTCAGTTCGTAAGTGAAATTTCCGCCCCAGAAGATATTTGCTAAAATGCTGCAAGGACTTTACCACAGCAAGCAATTCCCATTTTGTGAGACAATAGTTCCTTTCCGGCTTTGACAACGACTTGCTGAAGTGCGCTATCACAACCTCTTGATCACCATTCCTTGCCCTCATAAATTCCTTGCTCGCATCAGGGTACCCCAAAATAGGTGTTTTGCACAGACGGTCCTTGAGCTCCTGGAATGCGATATCTTTTTTCGATCGTTAATGTACCGTTACGTAATATATATTTCGCAGGGTCCTGCGAATTAAAACATTCCTTTATATTTACTTTTACCTGGAATATGTTTAATAATCGGAAAACTATTTTCGGCTTTGTGCAGTTTTCATAGATGCTCGTAATAGTTTAAGAACCACTTAAACTATTACCAGCAGACTTACGGTATTTCAAAATAACCGTTTTTAAGTCGGAAACTCCACAGGTTCTGTCTACTTCATATAACCAAGGCTGCGAACACGACCCGGTTACGTTTGCGCAGGTGGTTAAGACTGAGGCAACAGTAAATAGCGGATTGGAACCGAAACATAACCCCCGGATGAATAAAACACGATGGCAAGGCGCCAGGAGAACCGTCTCCCCTGAGCGTCCCGTTAATTCCATGGATACGCCTGCAATAGACCATTTAGAAGCCAAGCCATCCCCAAAAAATATCATGACCGACCTGTCAAATTAGTTCTATTTATATCCGTGGGACTTCTAGCTTGCTACATATATATTTATCTATGGGGACTTTTTTCGTGAGACGGAGTGTAGCTGTATGTGAAGTAGCTAGCTAGGCGTTGCCATAGATACGGCAACAGTCGTATTATGCGGCAATTCACAATTTTTTCCCAGAAAATACGGCATACGCCAGGCCTGTCATTGCCGTATCACAAAATACGGCTATTGGCCATAAGGTGAAACGAAATGTTTTTTCACAAGTGATACGGAAAAGAGGCAAAGCTTCATACAACAGCTAGGTATGATGGGTACACTCTTTGTCACATGTAATTGATAATTGGTTATAATTGATCATTTCTAATATCGTAGATATATCTTATACATACATATTTAGAGACCTTCAACAAGAGATTACTCCTTTCTAAAAGGCCGGCAATGCACCTGCAATTCCCCTGGTGTTGCAGTTATTAATGGACGGAGGTAATCACTTACCATCAGGTGAGTCGCATACTCGTTTGCCCCCTTTTGTATAAAAAAAACATACATACACCTCAAAAAATGTATCGCATTTGTTGAATTGCTTGAGCAATAATATTTTTAATATTTTCGAAATAAACATTGTTAGTATTGACAGTGATATAGAGACGTGTACAAGATTGTATATGTCATGTGAGTGAGAGTGAGAAAAAAAAGGAAACTTTTTATTACTTTTAACATTTACCATTCAAATAAACGGCACAACAAATAAATGGATAACAATAAATATGGAAATAAAATATTTAGAGTAAGTAGTTTGTAAAAAAATGAGAAGCAAGAACAAATACTCACTAGATAAACATGAATATGAAGAAGAACATAGATACGATAAGAACCTTCACGGAGAAGAAACAAATGAGGAACAGATATTTTCAAAATAAATAATTCATACAATACAATAACTTTATTTCAGCCTTAAATGACTTAAAAATTAAGAACATTGGCCCATAGCAATATATGCCTTAACCTAAAAATATATATAATTTTTTTTTATAGAATTAAGGTCACAAACGAGCACACAGTCCACCTGATGGTAAGTGGTTGCTGTTGCCAATAGCAATAACATCTACATCTATCTTCGTTTGCGAATTAAAATGCAGATGCGTTGTCAGCCTTGTTGCGTTGTAGCTTGCTACATATATATTTATCTATGGTCAGTCGTGAGGACTAAGATGGAATTGTAGTGTTTGGTGGTTCGGGGGATAAATAAAACGTCCAATAGTCTAGAATGTAGGTTTAATACTAACTCTCTCTTATTCTATCCTACATATATATATAATAATAATAATAATAATAATAATAATAACAACCATTTATTTAAATAAAAGTACAATAATAAAGTGAAGACTCTGATCCCCAAACTAGACAAGTCTGTATCTTAGGGATCAGCGGCCTCTCCCAGTGGTGTGAGAACAGTATCTTAAGAATTATATATATCTTAAGAATTAATTAAGTAACTAAGCTTAACATTTTTAAGTAACTGTTTAGCTATTTGAATTTATTTATTTACAACGAAACATAAACTAGAACTTAATGCGACTCTTTTGTCGTTATTATAATATTTTATATAATCGTAGGTATATTAAAATTAGTTTGCAATTTGTTATATATATATACATACACATACTCATAGACATACATATATACATACATACATATATACATATACATACACACTCATATATAGAATATATTATTATATAATTTCATACAGAATATATATTTTATTCATTATAACCTATAATGAATAAATATATGCTTTAAACAAAGATTGCTATTTTTAATTTCATAATTTTAAAATTTTATAATTTTATTATACTTTTATTATACGACATACATTACTTACACACATTTTTACAAATTATATTTTCTGTTTTACTATAATCAAGGGACAATAACCAATCTCGAACTTTAACTTTACATTCATGTCTGGAAAGAGGATAAAAATTTAGAATTCTATTTAACTTATTATAAAGCACTGAGGATAGATATGAACTTTGTCGCCTAGAAAAAGCAGTTGGACATCTGCCAATAACCAGTACATCCGGTATTCTGCGTTTATTACGACAGATCTCAGGGTCATAAGGAGTTAGAGCATGTTTCATTAAGATCAACTGTTGGATGTACAATTGCCTGACAGTCAACAGTTTGCATTCTTGGTAAAGCAGATTTGTAGGATACCTGAACGGTTTAAAAGTCATAGTTTTTAGGAGACATCTTTGAGCTCTTTCTAATTTTATCATAAATGTTTTGCATGCTCCACCCCAGGCAACTATACAATAACCTATAATTGATTGTGCTAAGGCGTAGTATACAGTTCTTAATAAATTAAAGTCAGCGATGTGCCTTAGCCTTTTAAATGTCCAAATAAGTATCCTAGTGCGCGATGAAATAAGGTCTATGTGTGGGAGCCAGCTTAGTTTCTCGTCTATAGTTACTCCGAGATATTTAATTGATTTGGATTTCATCATATTAGGGCAAAGGCAAGTATCTGTTGACTGTGAACCACAAGAGTGTACTGTTAGTTGTATATCGTTAACAGTTTGGGTGTTGGTTATATGGAACTGCATATAGGTGGACTTAGATATATTAAGAGTCAGTAGATTCTCCTCAAGCCAATTTGCCACAGTTTGAAGACCCCTCATCGCAAACTCCTGGACCTCAGGCCAAGTCTCTCCGTAGAAAATTAAGGCTGTATCATCGGCATAAGTAAATAGCTTGCCTTGACTTAGTGTCATTGAGCACAGGTCGTTAATGTAAACCAGGAAGAGATTTGGTCCCAGGATACTGCCCTGAGGGACTCCAAACGTGACACAGGCATCTGAGCTAATAACTTTTTTTATTTTTACTCTCTGCACACGGTCATATAGAAAATCCTTAAAAATAGAAAGGGCAGAATCTCTTATTCCAATTTTTTCTAGTTTGTTTACAAGAATTGGTATCGAAACGGTGTCGAAACCTTTGGCTAAATCTAGGAAAATCCCTACACACTTCTGTTTATGGTCCAGTTTATTTGTTACAAATTCGGTCAAGTTACGAACAGCATCTTCTGTACTAACACCCGCTCTGAATCCGAACTGCATATTAGATAAGATATTATATTTGTTTAGAAATTTAACCAAACGATTATTAAGCATCCTTTCTAAGATTTTTGAAAGAGCAGGTAGCACAGAGATCGGCCTGTAATTTTCAACAACGTCTCGAGCCCCATTCTTGTAAACAGGAGTAATGAGAGATCTTTTAAAAACTTTTGGAAAGCATCCTTGTTTAAAACAGATTTTAAAAAGGGTTGTGAGTGGCAGAAGTATTTTATCCTTGGTCATTTTAAGGAAGACAGCAGGAATGGAATCCCAACCAATAGCACAATCATTTCTAAGACCCATCAATATTGTTTCAACTTCTAACTCGTCAGTAGAATCGAGCACAAATGAATTAAGCGACCAGGGCATAGTATTAACATTAGCAGGTTTAACACCGTTTGCTAGAATTTTATCAGCTAATTTTCTACCTAAAGTTGAAAAATAGTAATTAGCTCTCTCCACTGAATCTGTAGGATTTTTAATGATCAAATTTTCAGCGTAATTCTTTTTAGTATCACACCCGGAGATGGCTTTAATTGCAGACCAAGTTTCTTTACTGGTTTTTGCATTTGCCAAAAGACTTTTTTCATATTGGCGCTTGAGCTTACTTAACAAGGAATTGCAGTAATTCCTATAACGCTTATAAGAAATTTGAAGTATTTCATTGTCAGGGTTCTTTTTCAGTTTTTGGTGAAGTTTATCGCGGTGA